TCCCCTTGAAACTGCATCTAATTATGTAGTCCTCCTCAGCCTTTCTCTCTCTCTCTCTCTCTCTCTCATCACTCCAGTCTGCACTTTTTCCCCCCACTTTCCAGTGTCTGTCAGCTGGGGTTGGGAGCTGTCAGAAAAACAAACACATGCACCCTGCGAGAGGCCATGTGTTTACCGAGACCACACTCATTTACCCTTTCTCTCCCCCTTTTCTCCCTGCCTGTTTTTTTTATTTATTTTTATTTAATTTTGCAAAGCAGCAGATCTACTGCTTAGTTTCACCCCCTCCCCCCTCCCCTCCGGGTGTGTCTTCACGGTAGTTAACATGTCAGATAGCTCGCCTTGCATTGCGGTGGCGTTTAAACTCATGCACGGTCTTGTCGTCTACCCCGCAAGCAGACGGGGGGATTTACCTGGGATCTCCTGGGGCATGCAGCGAGTTGGCAAAGCAAGCCGGGTGGTGCATACCTGAGGTCAACCTGCTGGCCAAGAAAACCTGTGTAGCTCGTTCCCTGCACCTGCAAACGCGGGCATGGGGGTTCCTACAAAGCCAACTATTGGAGCGGAAGTCGGAGCATCTCTGCCTCACCTGTCGCAGCACTTTGCATTATTCACCGACCTGTCTCCTGACCTTCATTCACACACGTCTAACCTTTTACTTTTTCCCGTGTGGAAGCCCGGCATGTAGATGTTACCTGTCAGCAGCAGAAGCAGGGAGAGTCTCTTGTTTGCGTCTCTGCAGAGCAAACGATCAGCTAATGCACGACTCTCTCCTAAAGGTTCTGACCTTACATAAGCCACAGAACGCAGCCAACGCCCTTTCACTTCGAACACTCGGCTACTAAAAGGCCGTTTTCAGGATTAGGCCTTTTTTGGGGTGAGTGCTTAAACTGCCGTCACTCTCAGTCATTACAGCAGGACTCATATCTAACATATCCTTTAAGAGAGTCCTTCTCTTAAAGGATGTGTTACGGCCCTAACATTCAAAATGCAGGTCCACACAGTCAACTTGCTTAGGTTTTAGTTTATTTCAGAACAACCAAAAAAATGCAAGAGCAGAGGGAAATAAGTCCAATCTGTCCCGAGGAACCCACAGAAAGCTCTGGCAGCCTGGCTTGTATGCCCTTCCACTCAGGTGAAGCCCATCTGCAATCAGCAGGTAGGCGGGCGAGTCTCCCAACGACCAGCAGGCATGCCACCGCCAACCACCAGATGACGCCAAACCCTGAAACACAAAACACAAGCAGTACCAGGCCAAACACCACGGCCAGGGCCGTCACAGATGTTTTGCGCTTAAAGGTACAAAAATATTTTTTGGGAGCCGATCCGGTTGATTGTGTCAGTCGGCGCCATGAAACGATCTGAAGTGGCTGCAGCGCAATCCCTTAGGGGCTTCTTTTTTGTTGTTGTTGCGACTGACAGACTCGGACGATTATTCCAAGTGTGCATCATTATGTGAAGGCACCAGACGTCATTGGCAAAAGTACTCAGAACAATGGAGTTCCTGAATTACCGCCGCGTCAGTATGTTGTTGTTTGTGGTTTGCAAGTGCGTGTATTGTGTTGGACCTGAAACAAGCACTATAATTAGACGCACCTTTTCATCGTGCACCCGTTGCCATTGACGATTGCATTGCAAAACACACTTTCCTTTTTCCCCCATTCATCATTTTCACACGAGAGGCAGTCGAGACAAACACCAAAACAAAGTCTGGAGCTGCTATCTGGCAAACAGGATGCAGCCATTGCACCTCCACTCGCACGACGCAGGAAGCCGGCCCGAGAAAGCTGTCGTTTTTTTTTTTTTTGGCTCAGGTGCCTCTTGCTGCGTTGAAACAGAAGAAATAGGAAGAAAAAAAAGAAGTGGGTTAGGTGTTAAGTAACCTGTCAGCACTTCATAACCTAGATGGAAAGTTAGCAGGGAACTAGAGCTGAAGACTTTGTGACCGTGAAGTCAGACCACTCCTTTGTTCCCTGATAGGAGGAGGAGGTGGTGAAGGGGTGAGGGGGGGGAGTCCTCATCTCTTTGTGGTCAGGTCCAATTACTCCAACACCCCCCCTGCCCGCCCCCGTCCCCGCAGTGAGCTGACCCGTGTGGCGGCGGTGTCACCCTGTTCCACACATACCAGCAACCCGGAACACAACAACGGGCACATTGAGAGGGGACGCTGGACGCTCCTGAGTGTGGATCTGTGCATGTTCTGCATGGCTGTGTTGGCTTGTTGTGAAGCCGGGACAGCAGACAAAGACCTTCTGTAAGGTGGACAGAGACGTACATGGCTTGTTCTGATGCCGGCTTGCATTGTGTAACGTTTGCTTCTCGCTCAGATATTCCATCAGACGATGCTCGCTGGCGCCTGTGATGCCATCGAGGCGTGCCAAAAGCAGAACTTCACTTCCTTATTGTTTACATTTTTCGCCGCTTAACCTACTTACATGTCCAGACTGGATAAAAAAAAAATGTGAACGTGGGAATGTGCACATGTAGAGTTTGGACTCCTCCCTTTTCCTATGCACTTGTCCCCTCCCTCCTCTCCTCTGTTTATGTGTCCGTATATTAGCGTGTACATTTCCCAGCCCTCGCCCCCGTCGCAGCTAGTCCCTCTATTTGTTTTTACTGTTCTTGATATTTCACATGTGCTGTACATCGGGGCTGGCGTATGTTGACGACCTGCAGACAAGTCATGGATCTAAAAACCCCTCGACCCCCAGCGCCCCCCCCCTTCCCGGTCTGTCAACATACCAAACTAGCCAGAGAGTTCAGACAACACCTGAGCCTCCCTCTCTTTGCACTGCGATGCATCAGTGAACTCCAAATGCAACAAAGTTTGCATTCGTCGTCCTTGAGGTCTGAACTTTGGATGCTTCTGGTTTCCTTGCGATTCTGTTTTTGTTGCTTTGGTAAACTGTCATCAATAGTGTTTGAGTTTCACTAGAAATGTATCAAAGCTACAAAATCTTGGTGTCGTGACAACCCCGAGTGAACCGACATCCACGTGTGCAAACGCAGCGCAACGACCTGTTCCGGATCAAATGTTTCAGCTCGGTCGCCAGCCCGACTTCCTAGAATGCATCAGAAGTAATCGATGCAGCCTCCATTCAACCAAAATGTTTCTCTCTCTCTCTCTGGATGTTTTTACTTCACAAACTTAAATACATTTGGTACATCCATGTGTTAACATATCAAAGTGTCTGACATTTGAGTTGTTAGAGCTCCGCAGCTTGCACCACTCCAATCCCAGTAAACCTATCCCCCCCCCCATGAGACGTAACGGAGTCGTTTTTAAAGTAGCAGAACAATTAGAGTGTTTGACAAGCTGTCAGTCACTGGTGATCAGCTCGAGGTGACCGGTCTAGTCAGTGTTCCAGCTCTGGATTCTGTCGCCTCTGTTTTTATCCGACAGATTGAGCTAGACTCTGTTCTCCTCCTGCCAGTGGGATTTAAATGTGTGTGTGTGTGTGTGTCTGGCTGGCTGGCTGTTTGTTTAACACAAGCCTTGGCTTAGATTGTAAGTGATCCTGTAAAACACACTCACACACACACTCTCACACACTCACACAGCTCTGATCGTCTCCTGACCTCTGCCACCAGCTCCCCACCTGCTCTCCTGTTATTTCTACCAATATTTTCTGTAACTTCTAAAGCGGCCCTCCATCCTCTCCCTCCGGCGTCTGATTCCTCAACTTATTTCTCTTCCCCTCCTCCCCCTCCCTCTTTTTTTTTTGAAGCTCGTGTGAGAGAATGAAAACAAAGATGCAGACGTGTTCTCTCTTGTATTGTTCTAATTTTTAAAAAGGAGATTTCTCTTGTTTCCTATTAAAAACAGCGCGAGTGGTGTGCACAAGATAGATGGGAACAAAAACAGCCCTCGGCTCCTGAGAGGGTGTGAGAGAATAAATAAATGGAGATGGAAGGAGGTGGGAAGAGCGTCGGGGGTGAAAGAGTGTGGGAAATCTGCAAAAGAGAAAACAGACAAACTTCTCCATACGTTCTCTTTGTCTGCTTGGAAATAAAACAAATGTTTTCAGGCTCGTCTGCACGGGGGAGAGTTCAGAGAAACTTCAGCACTTTTTTTTTTGCTTTTGCAGCCATGCATGCAGACGGTTTGACTTCAGTTTCACACTTAATTTGCAGAAGTTGAGACTCTCTCCCTACATGTGCATGCACTGTTAGGTCCATGTTGTAGTCTGTACGTGCACCTATTTGTAGACATGTTTGTTCCTATCCTTTCGACGTATGTATGTATGTATGCATGTGTGTGTGTGTGTGTGTGTGTGAGTGAGTGAGAGAGCAGCAAACACAAGGCACTCTGTTCCAAACTTTTCGGGCAAACACCCTCTCCCCGGAGAGCTTCTCAAACACGACCCAGCAGGCCTGTCAGCACCACTTAACATGACGATTCATCCTCCCCATGGGACAGATTTCTGTGTGTGTGTGTTTTCCCTTTTAGCACGTGCATACAGCGCGAGTGTGTGCGTGCACTCTTAATGCGACAGCCAACGAACCGATTGATCCGTGCACTCAGCGGGGTCACCCAGAGCCCGCCCCCCCCCCCCTCCTCCGCCCCCCCTGAGGCTCCTCTCTTCTGCATGGACATGTGTGGGAATCAAAACAAAGATCGATACTGTGCGCGCTGGCAGCGGGTGAAGCAGACAGACTGATGGCCTGTGACAACTTCCTGTCCTACTGGCTTTGAGGAGCTTCATGACAGTCTCTATAATCAGTTTATCAGATCTATATTGAGAGACCAGCCTTCCATCGCTGCTACACCTGTTGGTTTGACCTGATAACTGGTCTCATATCCGGCAAACCGCGGGGCGTCCAAAACGGCCGTGTGTGGGTCGCCTTAAAACCGCCTACCGTCTCTGTTCCAAACAACAAACTTGTCCAACAGAGCTTGTTTTCTTAATGTCTGATGATACTGTAAGGTCACTTTATCATTTCCTTCAGTCGATATCTCACATGCTGATTGAAAACTTCCTGTCCTTCTCCGTCTCCAGGACCTCTGTGGGCACCACTCCTGCGACACGCTGGGCATGGCCGACGTCGGCACCGTCTGCTCTCCGGAGAGAAGCTGCGCCGTCATCGAGGACGACGGCCTCCACGCTGCGTTCACCGTCGCGCACGAGATAGGTAGGCATGGAGACACAAAGAGAGACACGTCGGGGCGCGCTGCGTCTGTCAGCACATCTCCCCCTCGCTGATTAATATCACGGGAGCTGTGGGTGATGTCACTCACCTGACACCTGAGTGTTTTCTTTTCTCATTCCTGCTGCATGTGCAAACTCTGAACAAGTCCCATCGGCTCGCTCTTTTTCCATCATCTCACATTCTGAACACGGTGTCCTCTCTCTCTCTCTCTCTCTCTCTCTCTCTCTCTCTCTCTCTCTCTCTCTCTCTCTCTCTCTCTCTCTCTCTCTCTCTCTCTCCCTCAGGTCACCTCCTGGGTTTGTCCCACGACGACTCCAAGTTCTGCGAGGAGCGCTTCGGCGTCAACAGCGACAAGCGCCTCATGTCCTCCATCCTCACCTCCATCGACGCCTCCAAACCGTGGAGCCGCTGCACCTCGGCGACCATCACCGACTTCTTCGACGATGGGAACGGTGAGCGTGGGAGAGAATGTGCAAACTGTAAAAAAAGACAAAAAAAAAACTGGAAACGTCTTAGCGAGCGCTTTTCCCAGCCTGTACAAGGTTTTATTTTCTCCACCTTACAATTTTACAGCCGTGTGAATCTACTCTGCTGGAGCTTTTCTCCCACAGTACCTAACACTCAGAGCTGTTTACCCACAAACACAGCTTTGATCCGAGTCATTTAGAATCCTATTAACTTCTTAAAGACTGCAGTCGCAGTGCAGCCAAAGACAGATCACTGGCAGGAAACCAAGATGAGTCATACTTTGCATTCCCGCCTCGTCAAATACTTTCATTCATGGCTGCCTCAAAGCATTGTGGGTTGATATTTGCTTGGCGCTGCATTGCTTTCTGCATGAATCATCTGTTTCAATCTTCACTTTCAGCACTTTTATTTTGTAAAGATATGAAATAGATTTTCTCAAGGTTTTCTTAATCTCTCTCGTCTTTCCTTCCACAGCCGAGTGTCTCCTCGACTCCCCCCGGCAGCCCCTCCTGGTCCCCGAGGAGCTCCCCGGCCAGAGCTACGACGCCGTCCGCCAATGCCGCCTCGCCTTCGGCCCCGAGTACACGGTCTGCCCCGGCATGGACGTCTGCTCCCGGCTGTGGTGCGCCGTCATCCGCCAGGGCCAGATGGTGTGTCTGACCAAGAAGCTGCCGGCGGTGGAAGGGACGCCCTGCGGGAAGGGACGCATCTGCCTGCAGGGGAAGTGTGTGGACAAGACCAGGAAGAGACATTACTCGGTAAGAACAAAAAAAGGGAATCAGAAATAGAATCCTTGAAGTTGAAAACCAAAAGAGGTTAAAATCATTTAAAGTGCAAAGGTTAGCAATTAAAGGAGACACCACATGGACTCTAAATCAGTGGTTCAAGCAGCAGGAGCAACTTGGGGTTAAGTGTCTTTCCCACATCGGACATGTACATGCAGGAGCTGGGGATCGAACCCCCGACCTTCCTGTCAGGAGACGACCGACTCTTCAAACTGAGTCACAGCCGTCCCACCAATCAAAGTAGAGAGAGACAGAAAGGGAGACACTGATTTCCTCGCCTTCTTTGAGCTGTTTTTCTCTCCTCGCCTTATTTCAACAGATCTAAATTGAATTTAACCACATTTTTGTTTGAAGCCCAGAATCCATTCCTTGGCATGCTTATTGACGCCGTGTGAGTGAAGACAGAGACAGAAGGAAAACTCCGAAAGAACGAGTGAATAATCTCCCTGTTTATTTGTCACCTGATACTCGACGAGTCCGACCCCGATCTTTTGGCAGACGTCTGTATGTGTGGACCTGGCCCAACTTCTGACTCGCTGCTGCTGCTGCTGCTGCTGCTGCTGCTGCTGCTGCTGCTGCCTCGTGTGACGACAGGTTTACCGCTTTGAGCGTCATTGACCTCCTCCATTCGAGGGTCTTCTCTGACCTCTGAGCCTTCATGGACTCATGGGAAAGACGTTTCCTCGTCTCATAAATTCTCCTTACATTTTTTTACCACTGCTTGAAGCGCTGATCGTAAAAATTTAAAAAAATAAGTACAGTACCTTCATAATTCCATTCAGGCTGTGTCTCAGGGGGGAAGCATGTGAGCGGCTCAAACACAGAACCCAGTCATGCTGTCTTAATCAGCGGCTTCATCACATGAAAATTATCTTTATTTCTGAGGCTTCTGCTGTGACACGTGGCCAACATGTCTGATCAGAACTTAGAACTTGTCCTCTCTCATCTCTTTTTTTTTCATCCCTCTCTGATCTTTCCTCTGCTGTCACCCCCCCCCTTCCCCCCTCAAACCTTTTATCTCCTCTTTAATCTCGCGTCTCTTTTATATCGTCTCCCAGGCGTCCAACCACGGCAGCTGGAGTTCCTGGGGTCCTTGGGGTGCCTGCTCCAGGACTTGCGGAGGCGGCGTGCAGTTTGCCCAACGCCTGTGCAACAACCCGCCGCCGCGGAACAACGGACGCTACTGCACGGGGAAGAGAGCCATCTATCGGTCCTGCAACGTCACGCCGTGTCCAGCATCGAGTGAGTGGGATCTAATTTGGGTTCTATGTATCAGGTGGTTCTACACGCCTAGTACAAACTGTTAACATTTGTGTGTTTTTTATTCTAAATATCTTTGAATTTAACTTTTCCTCAGATAAGAATTACCGGCAGGAGCAGTGTGAGGTGCGTAACGGCCCTCAGACGGATCCTAAAGGGGTGAAGACCTTCGTCGAGTGGGTGCCAAAGTATGCCGGAGTCCTCCCTAAAGACGTGTGCAAGCTGACCTGCAGAGCCAAAGGAACTGGGTACTATGTGGTGTTCTCTCAGAGGGTGAGTTCATTTTATTTATTTTTTTAAAGGTGCAGTATTTTTTTAATGTAAATAACTTTGCAAGATGACGTGATTTGTGCGTGTTGTTCTGCAGGTGGTAGATGGGACGGAGTGTCGACCGTACAGCAGCTCAGTGTGTGTGAAAGGGAAATGTATAAGGACAGGATGTGACGGCATCATTGGCTCCAAGCTTCAGTTTGACAAGTGTGGAATATGTGGAGGTGACAGCACGGGGTGTATACGGGTTGTTGGCAACTTCACCAAGAAGAGGTAAGGAAGAAGGGAAAATGTGAACCGTGCATCATGCAGCTTTAGGGCCTGTTAGAGGCTTTCAGAGCCCTTCTCACCGGTGCTTATTGTTGCTAGGTTACTAAAGTTAACCTCCACTTCCCTCTGCAGTGACCGTTAAGTGTGTTTTAGATAGCTCTGTATGTTTTTCTTCAAGCAAACATCACTAAGAAAGCGATTTAAAGGAAATGTTGTTGAAAAAGCTGACATCAGAAGTCCCGCCCCCTCTTGATTGTGATTGGTTAGTGAAGGATAAGTGACATTTGGGTACAAAAAAAAAACTGCTGATGCGAGGGCATTTTTGTACTCAGGACTCTGAGCGCTCAAAATGCTGAACTGAACTGGTTTGGACACAGCCAGCCAAACAAACGGCCTTAGTGGACACAGACCCTTGTAGAATGCAAATATTTAAGTTTGCACTAATACCGGACAGGAGCTCATCAGTTTTGGATATAAAGTCTGCACATGCTGCGTAGAAGAAGAAACAGTCAAACTAACCACTACTTTGAAAATTTACAAAATATTCAACAGCAACCCAAACAGCCTAATCCTAAACGTTGGACATATGTTCAGTGTTAAATTGTTTTGCCTCCGATTCCTAAATCGAGTAACAAACAGGCTAACAGGTTTTCCTTGTCCAACACTGCTAAATCTCAGACTATATCGACTGTAATGATGTCAAAATCAGTCCATCATTTTGGATTATATTTCACATAGTGTGTCGAAAACAACATGCTTCTTTACATTCTGCTGTGTCATGGTTATCTGTTCTGCACTGCTTGCTAGCTTCCTTTATTTTACTGTTTTTGGTGTTTTGCTAACAAACTGAGATTTACCAGTATTTGCTAACAATTCATGGCATAGTCCAAAATACTTTGCATAATTCCCTTCTGATTGACTGAATTATTTGTTTCAATACTGACTTCCATTTTAATGTGAAACCAAATGGTCTTAAGCGGTCTGTTCTTAGTCAAGGACCAAGACCTTGTTAGGGCCCCCTTACAGGTTGGTCCTCTTTTTACCGTGGTTATTTTTGTCTTGGTATGAACATATTCCATCACTGTGGGTGCCAGGTCCTTTTTTATTATTTGTAATCATTTAATTGAGTCACACTGTCAGCAGTAGAAAGTGCTTTTTAAGAAGCAATTTTGTTGAGGGGGGGGTATTATGGACCCAGCATGTGCTAGTTTTAAGGTGACTCTCCTCGAGGGCATGCACATGATTGGTTTTGTAATATCTTGGACAGACGTGGGTTTGTGTGTATATTTATGAGAGTATTAGATCATGTAAATTTTAATTCTATGTCATGAGTTGTTGGAAGCCAGTAAATCAAAGCCATGGCTGACAAAGAACCCATTGTGTTGCATACTGATCTGATCTTGCTCTTCTTTTCTCTCTTCCCAAACAGTAAGGGTTATACCGACGTGGTGAAAATCCCTGCAGGCTCCACCCATATTAAGGTTCGTCAGCACAAGGCCAAGGACCAAACCCGCTACACCGCCTACTTAGCACTCCGGCGGCCCAACAGCGATTACCTCCTAAATGGCAAGTTCATGATCTCCACCTCCGAGACGGTCATCCCAGTCAACGGTTCTGTGCTCAACTACAGCGGCTGGAGCCAAAAGGACGAGTGGCTTCACAGTATGGGTCCAGGAGCCATCCAAGAAGCATTGGTGGTCCAGATTCTAGCAACAGACGCTAAAAAGCCCCTGGATGTTGGTTATAGCTTCTACATGCCACGCCGGACAACCCCACAGCAGCCGTCAGTTCCATTAGTCCCCAACCCAAAGTCGATCCCTGTGCAGATTCCTACAACCGTCTCAACCACGACAAGAACCACGACCACCTCCAGTCGCACCACTACATCTTCCCCAGTTCCCCCTGTCCTTAATCCAGGGCCACCCACAGGTCCAGGTCCTTCCACCCCAACCCCAGGACCGCAATGGGTAACGGGTTCCTGGATGACTTGTTCCAGGACTTGTGACACTGGCTGGCAAAGTCGGACAGTTCAGTGCAAGGACCCGGATGGGAAACTGTCCAAGGGTTGCATGCTTGGTGCCCGGCCTTCTGCCTTTAAACACTGTCTGGTTAAGAAATGTTGAACTGACAGGAGGGAAGAAGTGACTATTAAGAAACAATTCGTGGGAAGAAGTTAATCTGTACCTCTGATAAAGGTCTCAAGTGCTGGATGTAGGACTATGGACCAATAAATGTAAGGCATCAAACCTTAAACAGGACCAGGAATGTTGGCTTAAAGCGCCTTGACCAGATACAAAGAGACCCAGAGACTGAGTGGCATGGTACCTGATTATATGCCAGACGAATGTCCGGGAATCATAAGAGCTATGCAAGTAGGATGGAGGACAGTTCCCGTATGACAGTGACAAGTCCAGCCCTGGCATAGCTAAGGACTTTATTGCATGTCACTTCTACATGGACAGTAACTGATTGTCTTTACTTCAGTCTCCAAGTCACGGAGGCTTAGTATGTGTTGCCCTGTAATGGCATGCGTGTTGTGTTTTTGTATGCTACTCCATGTCTTCTAATCACTGTGGGGATTCGGAAGCCGTACCCCTTTGTCTTTTGTCGTGAGTTTATCCAAGACAAGAGCCCCAATGATGGGAAGCACTCAATATTTACATTGTCGTAATTTCTGCCGGTATTGTAGCCCTGTTCCACCACTGTCATCCATTTCAGTCCATGGTCCACTATTACCATCTCCCAAAACTCTTGACATTTCTCTGACTGAGAGGCCTTTAAACTGATCCCATCCAATATCAATCTTCTAAGCAACTGTTCAGAATGAAACCATCAAAACAGGAAGGTCAGTTAATGCTTGAGACTTCACTCACAACTGATCTGTGTGTCCAGATATACCCAATCTCCAATTTGAACTGGCCAGAGTATGTGGGCGAAGACACATCTGTAGAAATCCAATAGGAAATGCATTTCAATTCACCCCTATAAGTGACTTTTATTTTGCCGTTGAGACTTTCTGAAGCCAATCTTGATACAATCTGTACATGGCAAAATGGGGATTTGGGCTGGCAGTACAAGTACAGGTATAAAGATTGCACAGGGCTTTTGTACCAACTTGAGTCGTCTCAGCAGCAGTGCTGTCAGTCGAGCTACCAATGGTAAAACGGATATTTGTACATGTAATTCAGAAGTTGTTTCTCGTCTTCCAGTGTCCAAGAAGATTTCATCCTTGTATTCTCTGCTTTGTGATTGTGACTGAAATGTCCAACTTTTTGAAATACTTATGGCAGTTCTGGATCAGGGCTATCCACGTGTTCTGACCACAGGCCCTCTTTGTCTTTCATTTGACTGATCGGCCCAGCTGAATACCAGAAAGCTTGTGTCTCAGGATCAGGTTCTTGAGAAATTTAGAAGAAAGGCAAACTGATAATCCCCTGTAAAGTGTGGGACAGCAGAATGGTGTTATTGGATTCGAAAGGGAATCTTCAAGGACAAAGTTAAATTGACAAAAGGGCAAAGTAACTATGACACTCCTTAACATTTATGGAGGTTAATTTTAACTCAAATGTTTGGGGAAATGCTTGATTTTATGTGCGTGAGTGTAATGTGTGTGTTTGTTTTTTGTGTGCATGCTTAGTGCTAGCACATCCATGTACCAGGCTTGTGTTTTTTAAAGCACATACAGTATGTACTGTGATCTTGATGCTTCCTCACTCTCAGTTCCATTTATATCAATCATTATGCTGGTGCTGGGAGGTTTACAGTCCTCACATTTTTCATGTTGCAGTAAATATCTTGTTTATCTGTTTCAGAAGCAATGCTAATATGACAATGTGTGCCCTGGATACTCGCAACGACAGCAAGAGAGACACTAATGCAGTCATTAATGTCCTTTTGCAATTCAACTCGTTCTCCTTTTTCTTTTTTTATTTCTCATTACACTTGACTTTTTTTAAATGATTGTTTAGCCTGTTTGCAAACCCGTTGCAACAATTCAGATTTTGCCACAGAAGAGATTCATCTAAAGGATCTGTTAACCCAAAATAGAGAAAGGTACCTATTGCCAGTTAAATTTTGAAATGCAGATAGTTTGATTGTTGATTTATCTGCCTACTGCCTCCCCAGTCGGTAAACAGAATTTAACTTGCCATTACAAACTTTTTACTTCAGAAACAATGCCTTGGTTACATCAGACAATCCTAGACCTCGACGTCTTGGTTCTAGAAAGCTTCTCAAATATTCATTCAAAGAATAGTTTGACAGTGAAATTAAATATACATGTTAAATTTCTTACCTGGGAATATGCAGAAAGATTCAATCCACACCACAGTCTTGCCATGAACAATAAAGTTGAGCCAGAAAAGCAGTATCTTAGCTTAGCATTAAGCCATGAGGTAATGGGAAACAGTTGCCTACCTCTGTCCAATAATTATAAATAAAACCATCAAGCCACTTTCAGCTTGGCAATTGCTACATTTTTTAATGATTGTTTAATCAATACTTAACTTAGTTAAAACAACACTTTATCCCGATTTTTGTAATGCTAAGCTAACAGGCTACTAGCTATAATTGTGTATTGAATGGACACTTTCAAGTAGGGTATCATTTCTCTCGTCTAAATCTCAAAAACATGAATATTAATGTCAAAATATTCAATTAAGTAAGGAACAAAACAAAAGACAGGATTTAACCAAGTTTATATGAAGAAATTTGATTATTTGGTAATTTTTTTAATTAAGAATGTAAGATAAAGGTATTGTTCCTCAGACATTTGGTACATGTGCAGGAGAAAACAAAGCATGATACAAAAAAGTTTTCAGGTCAACAAACCACTTACAAAATGTTCTGTTTTCTTCACACCTTCAGAATTATTTACACAGTATAGACATTTTTTTGTACAAATTAGTAGGTCTTCCATATGTGTAATGTAATATTTACGATAATATACACACATCATTGAAACAATCCATCATTGGCGCAGTATTTGTAGATTTTGGAAACCTACACACACACATACTCGCAACCTACTCCGACTCTTCCGGTGGGGAAACCCGTCTCGCTGAATGACAGAAAAACACAGCACTGAACTTGTAATTTATTGTTTGTACAACTGGTATGTGTGAATAAAAGAAGCATTGAGATGAGTTTTATTTATTATAGTAATTTTGTATCAAATTACTATTTAACTTAGGAATATGACTGTGCAGATGCATTCCTCTGTAAGAATATAGTGTTTTTTTTCTAGTCATCCACATGAATATATGTACATAAAATCTATATATTTAAATATCTTGGTGTCTGTGTTGTTCGTTGTGTACTTGCATACATATTTCAGTTATCTTAACTAGTGTTATAAACTTTATTTGCTTGTCATGAATAGGGCTATGACCGACGATGGGCTTATGCGGATATCGATATGTATATCAGCCGATATCTCTCTTAAATCTATCTTTGATCTGTAGATAGATTTTTCACATTATCGGAGATTAAAAGTGTCTTCCTTTTGCTAAAATGGGCTTTCATTGCTTAGAAAAGTCTTCTACAGGTTGCCCGGAGACCTACAGATTTTTTTAAAAGCTTCTAATTTACAGAGTAAAGTGACATTCTGTGTAATAATATATAATATATAACTAATCATTTGAATTCCTTTACATCTTTTTTCAGTAGTATATATTTAAAGTAAAAGTACTCATCATGCACACTGGCTCCTGAAACTGTTTTAATGGATGTTTTATCGCTGGATAAGAGCAGCATTTTAATATTGTATCTGGTAGAGATGTGTAAACCACCTCGAGCTAACAAAGGCACAATTAGCAAAACGGAATTAGAAGAAACATTGACACAGTTGCAATGGTGTTATATTTGAGCCGTTATATTTCAATAACAGAATCAGCCCTTATAGTTGCACATTAAGTATACAGGTGTGGGAATGTGGGGCAGGGGATCATGGGAGAAATTCAAATCCCTTAGATGTTTTAGAACTCATATTCAGACTGGGTCAGAGCATTTCTTCTGACCTTTAATCTCAACCTGAAGCCTTTAGTTAAAAATGTATCTGTCATATGTTGTCCCTGCTGTTGGGTTACTAGTGTCTTTCAGTTTATAGATCCGTTTGTATTTTGTTTTACTTTGTTATCAACACAGGTTTACTTCCTGCTATCATGTGTTTTCCCCATCCAGTTTGATTGTATACCCCGCCCTGATTGGTCTCACCTTGGCCTTGTTTAGCCTCCTCTCTTCAGTCTGAACCTGTCTGTGTGTGTGTCTCACATTCACTGTTTTTCCTGCTGCTTCCTTTGTGTGAACAGACCTTCAAAGATATCAGGATTTCAAAAGAATTCTCGGACTACACCTTTGACAGTAGGTTATTTCTTGTGGCCTTACTTTTTGACCAGATCTCAGTCATTATAAGTCTGCATTTGGGTCCTCCCTCACTTTACCTGCATCAAAGTGTTGCTATATAAACTTACAATCGCCTCATACATTCATTTTTATTTGGCTTAAACGATACTCCCTGTTTCTTTTCTCCTGGGTTAAAGTTTTTTCACTCCTTAAATCACCTAGAAAATCTCAGGATAACGTAAACTACTTATTGACATGATCCAGTCTTTTCTCATCTGCTATTGTCATGGATCATATGAGCATTTCTATGGAGGTTTTGTTGTTTGTTTGAACCCACGATCCCTCCCTAGAAATCTCCAAACGTCCCTAATCATTCATGTAGACGTAAAATAAGATATTTAAAGAGAATTGATCTTCCTCTTTCCCCTCATGGCTTTTCATTCTGACCTTCTGACCCAGGATCAGCCCTCTCATTAGTGAAGCATGTCTGCCTCCCTGAGGTCAATCATTCAAAGCCTGTGTTTTCACATGCAGCCAAATGTAATGCTAAGGCGCCACCTGTAGGCTAAAGAGGGTATTGCAACGTGCATTAATGGAAACTGTCTGGTAATTTTCCTCAACTCGTGCCTGCCGTCTTGTGGGAAATGGTCATATTACAACTTTGCACTTTTTCTGACGTGTTGCTCTTAAGGTGGAATTTCATCATTTCCCGTCAAGAATGAATCAGAAGAGTTTGTTTCAGTGAGAAAAAGTTCAACACTGAAGTGGAGATGATGCCCTTGGGTGAATTACAATCATTATTAACTCTTAAATGCTTTTATGTCATGACATCATTTCCAGATATTTAGCGTTTTGCTGTAATGTCAGGCCTGTATAATCGATTAATCGTCCCACATACATAAAGATTATGTGAGTTAACTTTCTGCTGCTCAACACTGTGGTTAATAAGTGTTCCTTTTTTTTTTTGATTGAACTACTAGAACTGATTTGTGATCTGTCTTTGCCAGTGATTTCTCCAGCGTAAACTCTTCCTGTGTTGTAGAGAGAGAGAGGGTAGGGGGGACAGTCCGGGCGGGCGGGGGGAGCAGCCGGAGGACAGGGGCTCCCCTCGCCTTGAGTTTGCTCGCGCAGGCAGCCTGCTGGAGGAGCCGCTCCACCTTAAGACCTCAGCGGCCCCTCTCTGCTCCCTCTCCCCCGGGAGCGGAGCTGCGGAACCCGGCCACGGCGCACCACAGCCGGCTTGGCACGGGGGTGGTGGGGTGGTGGGGTGGGGTGGGGTGGGGGGGGAGAGGTGAGTACGGCTCCCGGAGCTTTGGCCAGGACGATCATGGTTACCATCCCCGACCTGCTGCCATCTCCCAGCTCCAGTTGCACTAACACTACAACACTGCTGCCCATAATGCACTGCTGCCTGTCATACTGATTCATGTTGGAATTCTCCTGAGATGTGACTTTAATACGCAGCAGAGAGGAAAAGTCAGAATGTAGAGCACTGAGACGTAGAGGTTTTTAGTTGTTATTGTGGCCACTTGAATCCTAAATGTTGACTCTTTTATGGTGAATATAAAGAATACATTTGAGTGAAATAACAGAACCTAAACATGTAGTGATGATACGTGTGGGTAATAAGTGTGTGTCTACATCTTGTGAGTCATAAACACAGTTTGAAGAAGAAAACACTCCTCTGCCCAAAGCTCCCTTCCCTCCACAATGATTGATTATTATGGCAACGCTCCAGGTTGCTGGTGCGTTTTCCTTGCGCACGGGATTTGGCCCCTCTCACATCAAAGGGCCCTCAGGAAAGGGGTGGTCCCGGGGCAGGGGGATATATAGGAGGGACCGGCTCAGTTCTGACTGCAAGGCAAGAGCAGAGAACAGACTAAACGGGCCAGCAGAGGGGAAAAATCTGCCCCCGAACTCAAAGAGAGAGAAACTGAGACATCTGCTGAGTTTTTGGAGAGAAAGAGACCTGTTGGAATTTACTGCAGAGTTCCAGCCTTTATTTTCATTTAAAGAAAGGACTTTTTTTTTTCTTTTACAAGTCAGTCTGCACATAACTTTAAACGAGTTTTGCACTGGATTTGATCCCTTTTTAAGATTTTTATGCTTGTGCGTAATTTTGGGAACAATTTTGTGGAATTTTAAAGACTTTGTGTTTCGTAGCTTTTAGTGGAAAACCTTTTAAAGGATTTATTTGCTTCCTGGTAGAGACTTTATTATCATTTTATTCCTCTAACTGTTGGATTGCAGTTAAATGATGTTGCTTTTACGCGTATCCATTGGTTTGATTGCCGCTCTGTGCGTCGGCGCGGCGCAAGGCGGCTGGCAGGAGAGCACCGTGGTGCCCATCAGACTCGACCCAACAACCCGATCGGAGAGCCCAACCGAACCGTGGCGGACTCTCTCCCCAGAAGAGAAGGAGAAGCAGGCGGAGATGAAGGAGTACCGATTGGACGTATTCGGCGAGGAGCTGGTGTTGCAGCTCGAGCCTGACCAGACCTTCTTGGCACCAGGGTTTGTCTTCAGTTTAGTGGGAAGCCCCGAGTCAGAACCCACGCAGATACCATCAAATAGTGGAGCCGAACCGGGTTGTTTCTTCTCCGGCACGGTGAACGGAGAGGAGCACTCCGCCGCTGCGCTCAACCTGTGCCACGGACTCAGGGGCGGATTCTACTTTCAGGGTGAAGAGTATTTTATTCAGCCCCAGAACTCGACTGACTTTCAGGGCTCTGAGGAGGATGTCCACATCATCCGCCGCAGAAGTCGTGCTGCTTTGGCTGAGGAGGGGAGCTCCAAGTGCGGGGTCAACGAGGACGAGGAGAGGGTGCCAAAGAATCTGGAGAAAGAAGCTTGGAAAGAAGCCGCAAACGAAGAGCAGACAGGTAAGGCCGCTAAAACGCTTTTTTACGCGCGTTTGCACATTTTGATAATGTGTGAATGATTCGAAATAAAAAAAGAAACCAGCAACATTTAAAAATTACAATCCTAGCTTAAAACCTCATTTGTTCAATAATGAGAGTGTGTATGATACATTCGAGTACTTAAACCAAAGAAGCATATCGGTTTATTCAGCCAGTAGCTGCAGTTAATTTGCAGATAAACTGCTGTCAGTTGGAGTTGAAAATGTGCCAAGTTGCACAGCATGCGCAGTGGACTCGGCTCCCTTTTTGACAGCAAGAAGAGGAGGGAAACTTCTCCAAGGGGGAAAGAGGAGGAGGAGTGACGGAGGAAGGGGGGGGGAGCAGCGGGGGAGCCCGGCTGTACTGAGACGTGTAAACTCGCCTCCTGGTACAACTCGCGCCGGCAGAAATCTTTCCCTCAGAACGGATTTTCTCCTCTCCTCTCCCCTTTCTTGCTCGCATAATTTTTCCACCAGAGAAGGTCACAGTAGGAATGTAGACCCCGAGGAGGAGGAGCCGTCGGTGGTGTGACGCTGAGTCACAGTCAGGCTCCTCCAGGCACATCCGGGGCTCGATTTGGAGACTAAAATGCGAGCTATTGTATCTATGTAGAGCACAGGCAGAGTTTTCTAGATTGCATAAAGTTTAGGAATAAATCTGAAAATGTATAAAGATGTCCCAAAAGTACAGTGCAGTAGAATCAGGACTGAAATCTGCAAAGCTTGAATGACCCTTGAACCCAGTTTGGTTTAACACCCCTGTCTCCTTTCTCACAGCTCACCACAGAAGCAGACGTTTTGTTTCCACCCCTCGCTACCTGGAGATCATGCTGGTGGCCGACCAGTCCATGGCTGAGTTCCACGGCGCGGGGCTCAAACCCTACCTGCTGACCATCATGGCAG